TCTTGCTAAGTTGCTGAGGGTTTCCTTAAGTTGCTGAGCCTGACCTCCACTTGTGATCCTCCTGCCTCAGCCTCTAGAGGGGCTGGGATTACAGACAGGCCCCGTGGCGCAGGGCTTGGCTCTGTGCTTCTGAGGTCTTGGTCTCTGATCCTAAATCTGTGGTTCTGGGACTCTGCAATCCAATCCTGTCTCATCCCCGTGGCCCCGGGGTGGACATGGTGGGCAGTGGACGGGTTCAGGAGCAGTCAGAACCAGAAGCCTTGGGTTGGCTTCCATCCCCACCCGCCTCTGCTCTCCGCTCGGTCTCTTCCTCTGCACCGTGGAGGCAGGAGCAGTGGGTGAGCCTCATTCTGGGATTAAATGATTAAATGCAAAAAAAAAAAAATCTATTAAGAAACGCCTGGCGCCCAGAGGGGCTGGGTCATGAAGACCCCCCCTGCCCTTGGCGGTCCCAGCGCTGGCCGCCCCCGTGGCTCCGTGTCTGTCCCTCTGGCCATCATTCAGTGAGGACTGTCCGCCAGACTCTGATCTAGGCATCAGGGATTCCTCAGGCAGAAGTGCCCGTGGCCACCGCCGTTCTAGGAAACAGGGAAGCGGGAGGGCCAGCCGTGGGGAGAGCTGTGGGGAGAGCCGGCTATTCCTGCCCCGGGCTCCCCCCAGCTGGGCCCCCAGGAGTCAGGAGCGCCCCCCCACCCAAGCCTTCTGGGCTGGCCACAGAGAAGCCAGCAGGAAGCCCGAGCCACAGGAGGGGCAGGGCACGAAGGCCAGGGACCCAGGACCACGCTGAGGAGTTTCCACTTTTCAGCTGCTGGAGGCGGGCCCAGCCTGGCCTGGCTCTCCCCCGGAGGCGAACAGATCAGTGGCGTCAGCCTGAGCCTGAGCCTGAGCATTTCTTCTGGAAACAGAGGCCCAGGGGCTGCTGGGTCCCGAGGTCACCCACAGCACCTCCCACCCTTCAGGGAAGGGCAGCAGCGGGCACACGGTGGCCCCGGTTCAGACCCCTCTGTCAGCTGAACAGAAAAGCCATTTTGGAGGCCCCGAGGGCTGGCTGATCAGCAGCCTGCATGGAGTCTTTTTTTAGTGGGTACCAGGGATTGAACTCAGGGGCACTGGACCGCTGAGCCCCATCCCCAGCCCTATTTTGTGTTTCATTTAGAGACAGGGTCTCACTGAGTTGCTGAGCAAGACTTGCCAAATTGCCCAGGCTGGCCTTGAACTTGTGATCCTCCTGCCTCAGCCTCCCGAGACGGTGGGATCCCAGGCGTGCGCCACCCGGCCTGGCGCCACCTGCACTGAATCCGTTCACAGCTCTAGAGCGAGGTGACGGTGGGCGTCTGCAGTGCCAGGCAGGACGTTCCCCACTCTGCAGTGTCTCCGCCCCTCCTCGCTGTAACCCTAGGAGGTGAGGGGTCATTCCTCTGTCCATACTGCAGACAGGAAAACTGAGGTGTAGCCAAGGGACACAGCTTCCTGGCCACACAGAACGTGGCTGTGCTGGGCTCGAGTCTCTGCCCCTGTTCTTTTCCTCTGGGCAACACTAAGAGACAGATCAGGTGAAATTCAGCTCTGCAAGATGGTCCTACTGTGCCCGCTCCTGGTCTAGGTGCTGGGGCTGGGGTGCAGCTCGGTGGAGGAGCACGTGCTTGGCATGCACAAGGCCCTGGGTCCCGTCTCCAGCGCCACAAAAAGGAATAAAGAATAATAAGACCAGCGCTGCTTTCCCAGAGCCCAGCCCTGGGCAGGGGCTCTGGGTGGGGTGCTGGCACCTCGACTGCTCCCCCCGGGAGTCCCCACCTCCGGCCTGTAAACGGGCACCGCGCACTTGACGCTGGCCAGGAGCCTTCAGCCCAGCGCCTTCACGTGTCTCTGGCGGACAGCACAATGCTGTATGTCACCAGGGCCCTCAACTCGCCCGAGGTCCAGAACTGCACATGGTCACCAGGCGGAGGCTCAGAGGGAGGGACAACAGACTCCCCGTCTTAGCTGGAGGTCAGGGCAAGGCCCAAACCCAAGCAGCTGGCCCCAGGGAGCCTGCTGTCACCCATCAAG